GATTCACACAGTGCACTCAGCCACATAAAAAATACATACCTTAGCAAGATATATGAACCAGCTGTTGTGAGTTGATATTATGTGTGAATTTGGCCATGTTGGTTTTAACAATAAAATCTTAAAAATTTTTTAAAATGCTTTGGCACTCAGTTGATAGATAAATTCAACTGAATTCAGCCCCAGTTTACAGATAAAGTCATAATGGTCTAGTCAAATAATTCCAGGTGTGTTTTCTTCTATATTTCTTTCCCTTTTCTGGGGAAAACATAGGAGGAGCACAAAACAAAGAACAAAAAAACTTAAGAATAAACTATGAGTTTAGACTAATCTTGGTAAAACAACCCAAATTTTGTAAAACAGCATATGGAAGTCAAGAGAATCAAGGTACAGAGTTCAGAAACAAAGCCAGTCAGATGGAAACAGCTTTGCAAATAATGACTGGATTGTAGCTTTCAATGCAAGGACTCACCTCCTGTGTAATAGCCATAAGCATAGAGCGCTCTTCCAATTATCCATGCTGAACCAAGTCCTGTAGCAACACGCTAGAAAGAAAGCAGAATAGTTATTGCACATGGAAAGGATAATATTTACAATAATGGATATTAAATGGACAGTCGCTAGAAGTAAGATTTATACTGTGGAAGAATCATTCTGGAAAGATGTGGTCACACTAGTCAAGAAAAGTAAATAAAGACAGTAATAAAATGTAAAGCTTACTCCATTATTTCATTTGCTCCAGATTCCTTTTTAGCACCCTGTAACTGGGCAAGTGCAAAGATTATGAAGTGATGCGTTCAGTCCAATTAAACTTGCTCTCATTTATCCTGTACAGCTCTTACCCTTTTAACCTTTCCCTCCAACTTTTCTCTTTATCAAGTTACATTATAAGCTCCTTTGCTAATGTGAATTCATGTTGATGGTTGAGATGATTGATAAAAAGAGCAAATCCATTGGTTAGAATTACCTATTTTTCCCAGTCTGATACATGTCCCTAAGATGTGTTGGCTATAGCTGTCATCAACCTCAATCCAAAAATATTTATTTCATAGACAATATACCAGTTTCTTAGACCCATAACCAGGAAAATGCAGTTTAACCAAATACTAAATTGAAATGGAAGACTAAAAAAGCTATAAAAATTGAAGATTGCAGGGGAGATATCAAACAATAGTTATCAAGCAGATTAATGGCTTATAATCCACATGCTTCAAACTACCAGTAACAACAACTATATTTGCAGAAGTTACACTCATTTCTTCCTATTTGTTTTCTTTGCAATGCAGGAGGTAACAGCCATTTTTTAAAAAACCAATTTGCTATTCAGGATGCAAAGTTTCATACTGATGCCAGATTCTGATTACTGGCATCAGTATAAAACTTTGGATGGATGGGTTGGGATATACAACATTAATTCAAGAGGAAAGGAGTAGGAGCAGGGAGAAACTCCCTCTGGTTTTACAAGAATGCCTTAAGAGGCATTATTGGGCTAGAAAAGATACACCAACCTCCACTGAACAAGTTGCTAATCATATCTAGACCTAATATTGTTCTTACCGGGTAATAGATCCCACTGATTCCAAGAAAGAACAGGAAGGAGGGATATGTTTCCAAGCTAAAAACACAGACACAGACCTTTTTTAAGCATGCTTCATTAATGGGTTTTACTCATTTATACCCAATTAAACATTATACAGAACCTAACATATCCCAAGAAAAAAAGCAGAATATTCTGCTATCCTCGAACACCTTTAGCTTGCCTGCAATCACAGCAGCAAAAACAAGTGAATATAACCCCACTCATCTTGCAATTTATAATTTTGCACTACACTCTTTTGTACAATACATTCTTGGTAGCTGTCTTTCCAAGCAGGTGCTCTCCAGCTGTCTCGAATTACATCTCTCATCCATGCAGACTTTAGAACCTATGATTAAAACTCCCAGTACAATCAAACACATCTGGAAAGTACCCAGTTATGGAAAGGTAAATAGTAGAATTGATTCCCCCAAAGAATTCATGGCACATTGTCGAGTACTAATGTAAAAGGGAAGAAAGGAATAAGAGAAACACACACAAAAGGTGTTCAGGGGACCAAGGGGAGATATAAACCGATGGCAGGAAGTGGCAGCAGCCTCTTGGTTCTAAGGGTCTGCAATTTCACTCATTGCTGGTGACTTCTGCACAAGCCCTACATGCTACAATGCAACTGCAGCTGCCTTTGCAAAACGTTTTTTTCAATGGCTGCATCCACGAACATAGAAACAAAAGACCAATAGCTGCATTTCATGATGTACAAGCACAGAGCAGGCAACATGACAGCCTGCTCCATTTATGTACTTAGGAAAAAAGATGTATCACGAGCGCTGCATCGAAACAGACAGGCTTCAGGCTTTCACAATTCCTCTCTAATGCACACAGTGGCACAAGTGGAATCCAAATGACTCCCAGGCACCAAATCTGGAAGAAACTAGGAATAAACACAATGTAGTACAGACTACTCACGTGTTCTGGTGTGCCCTCTGGATACAGTTAAACATGTGCCCATTTTCAGGGTCTGTACTGTACATATTTGGATACTATTGAGAGAGAAAATCATAATCATATACATATATGATTTTGCATACAGTACTTTGGTTATGTACAGCCATATACTTATCACAGGTATGGACCCAAAGCTTACAGTATATGGTACTATAAGTAGTCACAGACGTGTATGCAGCACTTGTTGGCACCTCCTAAAAGAAGCTGCCTGTTTTCTTAGGCTCAAACAGTAGACATATAAACTGACAACCATATAGACAAATTAAAATTAAAACATACATTAATGTAACAAAATAATTAAATAACAAAATTAAAATGTTTATAAATAATAAAATAATAAAACTAAAATAATATTTATGAATAACAACATAAAATAACTGGGTGTAAGAGCATGCTTTTGCCCACTTTGTTGTGGAAGTGAAAACTGGATATATGAGAAGCATAAAAATATCACAGAATCAAAGAATTGTGAAGTTGAAAGCAATCAAAAGTATAATCAGTTCAACGTTCTATAATGTGCAGGAAAACCAACCAACTGCACCCATAAGAGGGGGCTGATCAATATTCTCTTAGAAACCTCCAGAAATGGAGAACTCACAACCTCCATTGACTCACCATTCTACTGTTGTACAGATCTTACCCTCAGCCAGTTTTTCCTTGTATTTAAATAAAATCTAGATAGCTGCACTGATAATCTTTATTTCTGGTTCTAACTTCTGTGGCAATGGAAAATATTTCCTGCCCATCTTCCCTATGGCACCTTTTTACACATCTGAATGCCGGTATCAGATCTCCCCTCAGTCTTTTTTCCAACCTTCTTCAAAGGTTGATCACACAAACAAATATTTTTCAAACTCAACTTCTGTGACTACATGGACACACAGTGGGGCAAAAAAGTATTTAGTCAGTCACCAATTGTGCAAGTTCTCCCACTTAAAA